TTGCATTAATACTAACCATGTTTGTCCAGTTGCACTAAAATACCCTATTTGGGCATTCATATCTTCTGTGATATGAGAAATGTCTAAATAACTCCTTCTTTTATAAAGTATGACTGATTATATCATACAGGGCATGGTTTCTAGCGCATGGACTTTCTTTCAGAACAAAAGATCGCCTTAATTATTAAGAATGTGTGCCTGATTCCTCTGAATTTTAAAAGAGTAACAATATTACTAATGATTGAAAATGTCATAAGTATAAAGAAGTTTTAGTTTGCCTTGAAATTATATTTCTACCTTAAAATGAAATTACCTTACTGCAATTTCATTTCATGTTACTGCTATTGGAAATGACATTTTTCCTTGGGTTAGAATATTAAGCTTAAATGAATGTATACTGTAGCTATTTTTTCATGCAGAGGATTAAGGCACTAGACGGACTCTTACAAATAAGATGATGAATGAAGTAAGTTACACTTGTGAAATTTATAGAGCTCAGACTTCGTAGAATTGCTTGGGGTTAAACTCATATTCTGTTAACCTTATCTTTTAGGGATTTTAAGCATGATGGAACGAGGATTGATTCCACCAACAGCGAAGATTAACCTTAAGAATCCACCCATTGCACCCAGAGCAGCTCCTCTGCATAGTTTTGATGAAGCACATAAGATTCCAACTGTAGGTAAGTTGTTCTTGCCTCTATGCTTAGTTGGGGATACACAGAAATTACCTCTTCCCTAAATCTAGCCTTCTAGTAGCCAACTTTCATCCTCAATAATAGGACAAGATGAAAGTTATAATCCTCCTCGGTTTCACTTTACTGAATAAAGTAACTTTGGGCCAGGTGTGGTAGCTCACGCCTGTCATCCCAGCACTTTGGGAGGTCAAGGGGAGAGGATCACTTGAGGCCAGGAGTTCAAGACCAGCCTGAGCAACATTGTGAGATCCTGTCTCTGCATACATACATACATGCATAGAGTAACTTTGGCCACCTTTGTAAATTACATATTGAGGGCCTGTGCTCTGTGTGTTAGAAGGTTGGTATTTTCAAGGGGCTCGCAGTTTGGTTGGGGAAACAACACAGACATAATAAAGATAAATAACAATACAAAGTAGCATGGAATAAAAACCAAATGGTTGTTAAAGTCTAGTGCTGTAGCAGTTCAAAGGAATAATTACTGAGGGGTGAGATAATAGAAGGAGATTTTAAAGAGGAGACTGGAGGAAATAGGGTGTACTGACCTGGGAATCTACTGACTAGTTGTAGAACCTCAGGCAAGCCATTTACTTTCTCTGGGCCTCAGCTATCCCAGTTCAAATTAGAGGTTTGGGCTACATTAACTCATCTGTTCACAAATATTTGTTGAATGTTGCTTTATCCAAAGTAGCACTTAGGTGCTGGGGGTCCAGTAGAGAATAAGGAAGACAACATTTCTGTTCTCATGGTGCTTATATTCTAGTGAGAGACACGGATAATAAGCAGGTAATTAAATGAGAATTTAAGCTAGTGATTCGTGCTAGAAATAAAACAATATGGGTTAGAGAGTGACAGGGAGTGGGCTACTTTGCTTGTGAGGGAAGGGTCAGGGAATGGCTCTCAGAAGAGGATGAGGTGTAAGCAGAGATCCAAATGAGAAAAAGCCAGTCATGTAAAGATCTAAGGAAGAGCATTTCAGATATATAAGAGTACCGGGACAAAGGCCCTGAGGACTAAAGAGGGGATGAGCAAGAAGGCCAGTATATGAGCAAGGGAAAAGAGAGGGAGGAGATGAGGGTGGAGATGTGGAGTGGGATCACATGATGTAGGCTTGAGCAGAGACTACGAGTTGTCCTCAATGAAAATTCTTCCCTACTTCCATAGTAATAGACTTGTGGGTTGGCACATGTCAGTTTAACTAAAGACAACATTTCCTAGCCTTCCTTACAGCTAGGTGTGCCACGTGACCAGGCTGTGGACAATGAGGATATAAGCAGAAGTGGATAGGGAAAGTTATAGGCTGTGCCCTTTAGAGAAAAGGGGCATAGCTTCTGCTTTTCCTTTCCTCCCTCTGACCAGCTGGGTTGCAGAAGTGACGATGAGAGCTGGACAAGAACTTTGAAGCCAAAGATGGGACTACATGTTGAGTCTAGCAGATCTGCCCCATCACCCCAGGACTATCTTCCTTTAGCCTGTGTGTGAGACAGAAAGAACTCTTAATTTGTTCAAACCACCCAGTATATCTTAAGATCTTTCATTTTAAACATCTTG